TTTTATCTTCCTTCTTAGTGTCAAATTTGGATGCGTGAAAAATCGAATAATTGTAGGCTAGTTTCTTTAAGATTCATTAAAATATCTATTATTGTTCAAAGGATTAAATGCCACGTCGCACGCGTCACCCGGCGAAAGTCCAATAAATACGGATTTCGAATATTAACCGGAAGATGGAAAGGTATCGCGGAAGTGTATGATGCAACAAACAATTCTCTCGACCTCGGTTTGATTAAAACGTAGAGTCAACGCCGCTGAAACGACGATCGCACAGGGAAACAGAGGAGACGACGTACGGTGTACGGAGAAAATAACGATTATTCGAATCGCTTGACGTTTCGTCGGCGAACTTTGTACTCCTCTCTGTCCAGCAATTTTCCTATTTGGGTCAGGCAAGATGACACAGACCGTGACTCTGCCCTTCCGTATCTCCGCTATTTCGGCACGGTCGTCAACCAGAGAGAAAAAGAGAGATACCGTTGGCGGAGGGGGAGGAGGAGTGAGGAGGTGGGGAGAGAAAACGGTGGACGATATCGAGTCGATTGAAAGTACGAAACGCGAGGAAACTCCGCTCGTTCTTTTGAACGCCCGCCCCGGTCAGAGATTGCTCGAAACACACACGACGGGAGAAAAATAAATCCCCGAACGAAATTCCGGCTACGAGCATTTCCACGTTAAACGTATCAGTCTCGTTAATTCGCTTGAAAGGCTCCCCTAACTGGACGCGCTCCGGAACGTCCAACGATTTCTGCCTTCGTGCCGCGCGCGCCCGTCGGATCCTCCCCCGAAATGATGGAACTTTTTCATGGCCGGGACCAGCAGTCGATCGTTCCGCGCCGGATAACCGGGGAACGCGGGACGCGGCCGACGTCGAAGAAGATAATATTGTTCGGAGAGTACTTTGCGACCGCGCGGAAAGTCAAGGTCTTTGTGGCGCGGGAGGAAGACGGGAAGATTGCGGGTTCTTACGGGGGATATCAATTTGACAGATTCCAGCGAAACACACAGAGGTATAGGTAGCGTTGAATAAATTACCGAAGTTCCATCGAACACGCGTGTTTGCGGGAGACACTGGAATTCGGGGGAACTTTATGTCAAACTGTGTTTACGCTGGGAGTGGTTTTTCTTTAGACAAGAGATTTCGACGAGTAAATGTTACGGTTGAATGGAAAGAAAGTAATTGAATGTTAACCCCTTGTCCTACAACGAGTGAGACTCGTGGTAAAGATTTTCAACATGATTCAACAAATATATATATTATATCTGTAATCAACTATTATACTTAAAAGGAAATATAGGTATATGCTTAGAATTTTTCTCTTTTCCCAATAAATTATTAATGACAAAGTAGCCGTATCGGTCAGAGTTGAGAGAAATCATAGGCCAAGGGGCTAATAATACACGCGAAGAGTTAACGCGAGAGAGTGGATCAAAGGTTAATTATTCTCTATGGCGAAGCATTATCCCCATACTCGAACCACGTCACGTCCGATATTGGAGACATTCCCCGTCGGTGTATAAAGAATCAATTTTTTATCCACGGAAGCCGCCGGAAGACGAGATCAACGCGCGGAGCGAAATTTATGGGCGCGTTCCCCCGTTGACCGACTGACTCCCTTATGAAACATTAAAAACGTGGCCGTGCACGGGACGAAATTCGCGTCGACGGGTTCCGGTAGGCAGTCCGAGGGTGTGGACGCGCCGCGCGATGTCTCGCTCATAAATTTCTCGTTACGGGGAGCGGCTGGGATAACTCATTCCCGATAGGAGCGTCGGGATCGCCGAATTTTGCGGGGGAAATTCGGCGACAAATCGCGAATGCGGCCCGACCGATTGCGACAAAACGGCCGTAATTACGTTCCGGATGCGAGCAGGTCGGAAAGCGACGTGGCGTGCGTTCACGGTATCGTTCTGTGTCTTGGATAATTGCCGAACACGCGATCCCCGCGCGAAACACGGAACACCGTGCCGTGCAACCGGCTAATGCGCCATTTTCGCGTGCGTGCGACGAAATACGACTCGCGTTTCGCAAGAAGAGGATATCCGTTAGATTAACCATGGTTTTAGTAGCTTTCTTTCGCGAGAATTCGCCGTAAATTCCTGGAGGAACGCGCGTCACAGTGAATTATTTGCTCTTAACGTAAATAACGAAGGGAATAAACCGAACGTTCCTCGCGTTATTGGTTTCACGTAGCGGTGAGGTCGTAATACTGGATTTCGATGGATTAACGGATCAAATTACGACATTTTTCAAATCGGAATATCATCGCCTAATCTACGAAATTAGAATGCTTCCTTAATGTGTCTCCTCGGAACGACGTCGATGCGAAAGTTTCGCGAGAAACGTTATTAATAAAAGGAAGACCAGGAGAGATTGGTGTTTGAACTTCGACGGCGTTTTGTTTAACTTTTAAGCGTCGGCCGGGGAGTATAAACTATCGCGACAAGTTCGATAATAGCCGAGACAATCGCGGAGCGGATTATTTATCTAATATTAAAAGTTCGTAACTACCGACGCCGCGGAAGTAACGGAACCACGACGATGAACGGGCAGAAAGAAAGAGTGAAAGATAAAGAACCGCCGGG